ACTACAGTTCACACTCATCATTCCATTTTTGTTGAAGTTCTACACATTTTTGCTTTGGAATCCAACTCCCTAGATCAATGCCTCGTCACACCCTATACATAGCAGTTGAAAGCCCTTTAGATGCTTTATGGTCAAATGCTTTTCTTATTTGTGCATCATGATTAAGCAACCACTTGAACTTTCTCTACATCAAAAATTTCTAAAATTTTATTTAAACAATGTGCAATTTAATGCAATGAAAAATATAAAATGGTTATTATAATATTTGTAGTTCTTTATACCTGAAACTCTTCAAACCACATGTTTGCCACACCTTCATTAGTGCTTTTGACCTCTCCATATGATTCCCATGACCCTTCAAACTTCCCTTTGATTATTCTTGAAATTTCACGTGTAGGGTGAATTGGTGGGTCAAATCTATAAAAATAAAATATAAGAACTAAAATAACTTATAACATGAAACATGTTTATATTGATCTAAAAGAAAAGAATTATTAATTCTCTAAATAGAGTTGGCCAAAAGAATCCAGATTGGAGAACCTTTATAGCAGTTCTCTCTCCATTGAAATGACCTCCATATGGTGAGTTATGGCAGTGCCAAAGAATGTTACCAGCTTCTTCCTTGGTCACACATCTCCTTAAACTTTGTACATGTTCATGACCATCTCTAAATAGAGTTGGCCAAAAGAATCCAGATTGGAGAACCTTTATAGCAGTTCTCTCTCCATTGAAATGACCTCCATATGGTGAGTTATGGCAGTGCTAAAGAATGCTACCAGCTTCTTCCTTGGTCACACATCTCCTTAAAAGATTATCAGCTCCAATCTTAAACAGATGAGGATCATCCCACACATAGTACTTAGCATCCCTGAAAAACTTCTTTCTTTGATGCCAATTTAAATCCTTAGGAATAACTCCAGCAGCCTTGAAGTTAGCCATGTCAGCAAACCATGGCCTTGCTTGAATTGCTAGAAGCTTCTCATCAGGAAATTCCTCTACCACTTCTTTCAACCTCATTTCTTCAAGTTCAAGGAGCTGTAACTTCCTATGTTCTCCAGCTGCTTTAGCATCCAAATTCAAAAATTTTAAGGCCCAAAATGCCTTATGTTCAAGCTCAACAGGAAGGTGACAAGCTTTCCCATATATCAATTGAAATGGTGATAGACCTATAGGGGTTTTAAAAGCTGTTCTGTAAGCCCACAAGGCATCTTCCAATTTGACTGACCAATCCTTTCTTGAAGAAGTAACAGTCTTCTCAAGAATTTTCTTAATCTCTCTATTAGATACCTCTGCTTGACCATTTGTTTGAGGATGGTAAGTTGTTGCTACCTTGTGCCTTACACCATAGTGTTCCAAAACTTTTTGAAGTTGGACATTACAAAAATGAGAACCTCCATCACTTATCAACACTCTAGGAGTGCCAAACCGGGTAAAAATGTTCTTCTTGAGAAATTTCACTACAGTTTTAGCATCTGCCTTTTGAGTCGGGATTGCTTCCACCCATCTAGACACATACTCAACAGCTAGCAAAATGTACTCATTGGAAAAGGATAAAGGCAGTGGGCCAATGAAGTCAATCCCCCAACAGTCAAATACCTCAACTTCTTGAATGTTTTGCAGGGGCATTTCATGTCTTTTAGAGATACTTCCTGTCCTTTGACAATTATCACATCTTTGTACATGTTCATGAGCATCTCTAAATAGAGTTGGCCAAAAGAATCCAGATTGGAGAACCTTTATAGCAGTTCTCTCTCCATTGAAATGACCTCCATATGGTGAGTTATGGCAGTGCCAAAGAATGTTACCAGCTTCTTCCTTGGTCACACATCTCCTTAAAAGATTATCAGCTCCAATCTTAAACAGATGAGGATCATCCCACACATAGTACTTAGCATCCCTGAAAAACTTCTTTCTTTGATGCCAATTTAAATCCTTAGGAATAACTCCAGCAGCCTTGAAGTTAGCCATGTCAGCAAACCATGGCCTTGCTTGAATTGCTAGAAGCTTCTCATCAGGAAATTCCTCTACCACTTCTAGTTCCAGTGCAGTCACCTCACTATTAACCAATCTAGACAAATGATTAGCTACATGATTTTCACTTCCTTTTTTATCTCTAATCTCTAAGTCAAACTCCTGCAATTGTCAATTGTATGTCTTCTTCTTCTTCTTCTTCTATGTCATTTGGAACTTCCCCTGCTATGCCCATACTATCAACAAGACTTTGTTGAAAATCATCATTTGAAACAACTAAAGGCATTTGTTGTAGATCATCATCTTGGTAAGCAACATTTGTTTCAAATTTATCATTTCCTAATGATTGAATTATATTTCGTACCTTGTTTTTTATGACACCAAACCAACCTTGTTGTCCCTCAGGAAAGGATGTAAAATACACTTGTTCTACTTGTTGAGCTAGTATAAAAGGATCATAGCTATGATATCTCCTAGATTTTTTAATTTCAATATTCTCATAAATATCTATTTTTGTCCCTTGAGAACTGGAACCAAACCAGTCACATTTAAATAAAACCAACTTTTTGTTAGGTCACCCAGTGTACTCCAATTCACAAATATCAATTAACACTCCATAATAATCATTTTCCATTACTTCATATTGGCCTCCTCGCACACAAACATGATGGTTTGTTGTACTCAATCCCTCATTTTGGGATTTAGTTACAAACTTGTATCCATTGATAGCACAATTAGGCCATTTTGTGACTTTTCTAATAGGGCCCCATGCCAAACTCCTTAAAAGCACATCATCAATTGCATTATCAGGGTTAAGCACCTACATTTGATACTTTGTTAGTCAAAGCTATTAAAATAAGGTACCTTGTTTGAAATAAAATAATTATTTCACGTACATGTGTTTTAAACCAAGTAGAAAAGTTCATGGAAATTTCCTTGTCTAGGTTGGCTTCATTTATCTCAGGGTTCAATTCCCGTAACAAATGCGAGTACATACTGCATATCCAAGATTAGGATTTAATCATTTTTAAGTTTGATTTAAATTTATAACACAATGTTTATATTAAATATACTCACTTTAAGTAAGGAACCACCTCTGGACAATTTAAAAGCACATACAAATGTGCAACTTCCATTTCCTTCTCTTCCAAGGTAGAATTGATACGTTTCCCAAAAAGACGACATGGATAATTGAAAATTGACAATGGAGGATATGAAGAAGATTGTTCACCGTCATCATTTCGTGACACTCTTGTTCTCCTTGATGGAATATGGGAAGGATAATAATATGATGCAAATGTGGACATCTCCTCAAGTAAATATGCTTTACAAATTGAGCCTTCCACATAAGCTTGGTTTGTAACTTTCTTTTTTAACGATCCTATAAACCTATGAAAAAAGTAAGTCTTTAAATTCAAGCAAAAAAAAAATAAGGATGTTGTAATAGATTTAATATTAATAATAACTAACCTTTCAAATGGATACATCCATCTATATTGAACAGGGCCACCAACTCTTGCTTCATATGCTAAATGAATTGGTAGATGTTCCATTGAGTCAAAAAAACTTGGAGGGAATATTTGTTCTAGTTTGCACATTATGATTGGAATGTTATCTTGTAACACACACAACTTCTCTTCTGAAAGCAGGGACGAAGTAATTTCTCTAAAGAATTGACTAAACTCAGTAAGAGTGTTCCATATTGGCTTAGGCAACACTTTGAATGCTAGTGAAAGCAAACGTTGCATAAACACATGACAATCATGACTTTTCATGCCAAATAACTTTGCTTCCCTCAAGTCAACACACCTACTCAAATTGGAAGCATAACCATCTAGAAGCTTGAGACTTATAACCCATTGACAAATAGCTAGTCTTTGTTGTTTGGTTAATGTATATTGTGCCTTTGGCTTTACAAGGTTCCCATTCTTGCCGACATGTAGTTCTAAACCTCTACGCTTACAATGAACTTCCAAGTCCTTTCTAGATTTGATAGTATCCTTTGTTTTTCCTTTGGTATCCATGACTGTGAACAAAATATTGAGAAATACGTTTCTCTCAATGTGCATCACATCAAGATTATGTCGAAGAAGATTTGTCTTCCAATATGGTAATTTCCAAAAAATACTTCATTTTGTCCAATTGTGCCCTTTCCCATAGCCTGATGGATTTTGTTCTTGCGATTCTTCAATACTTGGTAGATGTTGAACCCTTTCCCATATTTCTTGACCACTCAACCTTCGTGGAGGAGTTAGAACCTCAACTTTGCCTTTTGTAAATGAAGTCTTATTCCTTCTATATGGATGATCTTGTGGTAAGAATCGACGATGGCAATCAAACCATGATGTCTTTTTACTACATGCAAGGCTAAACCCTCTATTATTTTCCATACAAATTGGGCAAGCAAGTCTTCCCATTGTCATCCAACCACTTAACATCCCATAGGCTGGAAAATCATTGATCGTCCACATCAAAGCTGCTCTCATCAAAAAAATTTGCTTCAAGGGCATATCATAAGTCATAACTCCATCATCCTATAGCACTTTCAATTCATCTATAAGGGGGCGCAAGTATACATCAACTTTATTCTTTGGGTTGGATGGCCCAGGAATTATAATGGTTAAGAACATGAACTCTCTTCTCATACACAACCACGACGGCAAATTATAAGGAGTAACAATTACAAGCCAACAAGAATAAGTCCTACTAGTTTTGTCAAATGGAGCAAAGCCATCAGCACACAACCCTAATCGAACATTTCGAGCCTCTTAAGCAAAATCAGGCCATGTTTCATCAAAGTGTCTCCAAGCTTCTGCATCTGAAGGATGAGACAAAGAACCAGGTTCTCTTTGATGAGTATGATACCATTTCATTTCATGAGCTGTTTGCATTGAAGAATACAATCGTTTCAACCTACGAACAAGCGGAAAGTACCACATACTTTTAAGTGACACTACTTTGTCCTTACCTCGTCTTGTAAAAAGTTTATATCGTTGCCTTTGACAAACTTTACAATTTTGGAGCATCTCATTTTTCTTGTAGTACAACATACATCCACTTGGACAACAATCAATTTTCATACTTCCTAACCCCAATTAAGCAACTGTTTTCTTTGCTTGGTAAATATTTTTAGGCAAACAATTGCCATCTGGCATTATATCCCCCATAAATTGCATCCATTCATTAAAACATCCTTCGGATAAACCATAGTCTGTTTTCAAAGTTAAAGCTCTTAAAGAAGCGGACAAAATAGAATATTTATCACAACCATCCAATAAAGGAGATTGTGCATCCTTTAACATTTGAAAGAATTTTTGTGCCTCTACGTTTGGATCTTGCATCATTATGTTTGTCATCATCATGTTGGTCAAGGTGGGTGCCAATTTCTAGTCCAGCAGCATCCATGACCAATTGTTGATAATTATCAAACATTTCCCTAGGCCCATTACTAGCATAGTATGATTGATCTGCAACCATAGGAGGAATTGGGGGTATTGGTTCACCATGATTTGTCCAATGATAATAGTTAGCCACGAATCCTTTCTTGCAAAGATGCACCCTTACTAAGTTTGGTGTTTCATATCTCCTACACTTACATTTCTTACAAGGGCACCTAATCTTCCCTTGTCCAATATCATCTTCATCGTGTTCCAAAGCAAAATTCACAAATTCATTAACCCCGACAATAAATTCTTCTGTGATACTTCTATGACAATCCACTCTATTATCCATCCACCTTCTATTTTCAGGAATATTCATTTCTGATGCATATAATAAGACAAAATTAATTATTATAACAATTTTAATTTATTTTTTCCTGTGACACTCCTATGAGCATTAAATGAATTTTGTGTGTATATATATATATATATATATATATATAAATTTAAATATATATATATATATAGAGAGAGAGAGAGAGAGGAGAGAGAGACAATGAGGGGTTCAGTTCAAGAATAACACTTAGTGGAGTTACTCCACTCAATAATAACCCATATACTACATTAAATTTCAATGATTTAAATTTTTATGAAATAAATCAAGTCTACATTTTTTTTACAAAATTTAAAAACTATTTTGATAGTTAGTTAAATTAATTCAAATAACAATACATTAACTTATTCACTAAATTAAATTTCAAGAATAATAACTACTAGAACTATTCCACTTAATAACTCATGCATTACATTAAGTTGAATCGATAACAATACTTTAACTTATACACTACATTAAATTTCAAGAATAATACTCAATTGATTTACTAAACTTTGAAAATTTTCATGAAAATGGTATGAGTTTCTGAAAAGCAACATCCACTAAATCTTATTCAGTGTCCATTCTCTCTAAAAGCAACAAAGTAAAAGCAACGTGAAAAAAATTAGAGTGTGAATGAAGAAACTCACATGTAATTTATGGCTATCACCAACAATAAAAGGTTTCTGGTTCACTCCCAAAAATGACACTCCAATATATTATGATTCAAACTATAAAACACACAACAACAAACATGATTGCATTTTTAATAAGTCAAATTGGAATTAGCTTTGTATCAAAACAAGATATACACAGCTGAGACAAGCATAATATCTCAGAGAGAAACTACTCAATATAATACCAACTTAATTTTAAATGAAAACAAGGGCAGTTGATATGGGAAAGTTGAATATGTTGATTGGATATCGAACTAGACAAAACATGGAAGGTAAAGAATTACCTAAAGCCTCTGGTTTCATTCTTACTGCCACGGCAGAACAACTGCAAAAGTAAAAATAAATCAAAATAATAAGCAGAAATATTCTTATACTAAGAAAATTCAAAATATAATGTCTGAAGACAGCATCATAAATTATAATAAAATATGGATACTTAAGAGTTAACACAATATGCATGTATGTCTGAATGTAATCCTTTTTTTTGTTCGTAGAATATGGTAAACATAATGTAAGTATGTATAACAAGCTTTCATCTTTCACCGTAAAGTTAATTCAACAGAATTTTCACAACTAATTAAAAATGACTTTAGATTTTGAGTAGTTATCTTTTTCATATGCAGAATTGAATTCTAGTGACATTAAAATACTAATAAAATTAAATGATATTGTTTAAATGAATTGATCTTAGTGTTGATTCATTAGATGATATATAATATGTAATATTTACGATATGAGAAGAATATAGTTCACAATACACTAAATCACACATACACAAAATCAAATTGTATTAAAACAATGTCGCTATCATTCCTTATATATATCTATATAGAGAGAGGGAGGAGCGTATCAAGTAAAAGGAGTACCTTATTAAGATATGGAAAATAAGAGAGGTAAATAAATTAATAATTAATATAGTCGATTCATTTTTAAATTTAAGTTATCTTTTCAATTAATGCTCCTTTTTCGTGACAATCACCATGATCGTGACCACCGTTCCCTATCATGACCACAACAACTATCATCATTATTACAACTCCCACTATTGTGGTCATTATGTGGAGAGGTGATGGTGGTGGTAGTGGTGACAACAACCATCATTGTTATCACCATCGTCACACCACTATAACTACTTTCACTGATATCACACCATGCTCATCACTATCATCATTGTCACCAACATCATTATTATCATGCTCATTGTTCTTCTTATCGCTACAATCATTTCTCATATTATCACCACCACCATGTGGCAACAATGATGATGGAACAATGGTTATGGCAACAAAAATAACCACCGTCACCAACACCATAATCGTCACTATTTTAAGCATCACTACAATCACCACCTCCTATCGCATTGTCGTCACAATTTGGTGATGGTGATGATAGGACTGATAATTGTGGGAATGGTAGTAGTGATGATGGTCATCACATGATAACGTTACTAATTAAAAATATAATTTAATTGAAAATTTAAATTAGCTCGTTAATTTTAATCCATAGATTATTATTTAACTTTCTCATCTTTCATAATAAGACACTCATCTTACTTGATATGTTCCTTATATATATATATATATATATATATAAACATTTAAAGTGATTTTTTTTAAATGTTATTATCACTATTATCGTCATTGTCATTACCGTTACCTTTATTATTGTTACCATAATAACCCTTGACAATAATAATGACAATAATAATTATAATAAGAATGTTAACCGTAATAATAATAATAAAATTAATAAGAATATTCGTCTCAAAAAAAGAGTTCATGATTACCTTTTAATTTTCAAACTTTTTTTTTAATTGAAACCTAAGAATTATCATTAAAAAAGTTTATATTCTCATTTTGAAAGTTGTTAGAATTTTATATTTCAATAATTAATTTAGATTAATATTATAAAACAATTAATAATTTCCAACAAAAATTTCTCATTTAAAATGTTGTTATATATATATATAAAAAATGTAAACTAATTATTTAAGCAAAATTGACTATGCTGGACGCCTGGGCCTAAGCATCCAAACTAATGAATGACAAATGCATCATGCATGGGGGTTTTATACATTAAGCAAACAAAAAAAAATGATGTCTCAGAATTATTTGATCGTGGTTCTAATTTCCAAACTCCAAAGGGGCAAAAACTAGATAATTAGACGATTACTTGCCAAAAAAAACTGAATACATATGTATTGGATGCATGTTCATACGAGATTATAAATTATTCTTAGAAATCATTCAACAATAAAAATAAAATAAAATAATGACACATTACCCACACAAAAAAAAAGTGCATGGTGACAAAAAAGTGGAAATATGAAATTTGATTTTGAGATTTAATTAAACAAAACGTGCGAGATAATTTATAAAATAGAAGAATTTGATAAATTAGAGATAACAAAAAAGTTCAAAACAAATTTTTTTATGACTTTATTTTAGCACTAAGAGAAGTTTACGCTTAAAAAATTAAAAAGATATAAACCAATAATAATAATATATCATATTTTCTTTTCATATTTAATAACAAACATTATGAACAGATTCTTTTAGAATTATGACTAAATTCTTATTGAGAAATAAAAATATTACCTATTAATTAATTAATTAATTATTACCGATTAATTTATTTTTATAATAATTTTTATATAATTTAATTATGTAAATTTTTAATTTAATATTTATATAGACTTAAATAATTGTTTTTATATCTGTCTACAAATGATCTTGGACGACGATGATTCTCCTAAACTATGCTGAGGCCGCCACTGATTTTCCGTCACATTATTGAAAAGCTCATGATTAATTCTTGGTGGAGTTCATTTTCCCCATTCATTAAGATCTAATAAATTAATTTTTTATTTATAAAAATTACAATAAATAAATTTAATAAACGTTTTTTCTTGTCTTCCAAACATGCTCGTATATATGGTTTTGGATCCCGAAGAGCAGTGTTTGGCGCTAGCTAGTATATTTAAATTTTAAAATTCAAAAGTCAAACCTTAAAAACCCCATTTTGATATTTATATATTTTTATCAT